TTACCCTGTTTGGTAATAGGTATTCAGAAGAGCCAAAAGTCAGGCCATAGCTTCTGTCCCCCTAGGTACTCACCTGGAGGAGGGGAGGGGGACAGGATGATCCTCAGAGGAGAATGTCTCAGGCACCACACAATTATCATCAGCCACTCCTATTTATTATGACTCCACCAGGCAGCTTCTATGATCACTAGGAAGAAGACATCTCCTTAGCTTGTAGTCTAACAGCCTTGAGGATTTAGAGAGTGACCAAGAGCCCATGAGCTCACCCCATGTAGCAGAGATGGCTGGTTTTCCCCTAATATAAGGTTTTTGCTTCTTCTGTATTAATATAATATTAGCTGGATATATGGGCACCAGGTATAAAGACTACATTTCCCAGGCTCAATTGCACAGCCGGGTGAGGTCAAGTGACCAAGTTCTGGCCAATAGGATAGACATGGAAAAGATGCGTGCCACTTCTCCCAGATTCCCTTAGTGGGAAAAGCTGTGTTCTCCAGTAGACCCTTTCACCCTTCCTATTGGTCGAAGTGAAAACTTACTGGCAGAATTTTAATAGCTGTCTTGGACCATGACATGGAAACATTCTTTAAGGTTGGCAGAAAACCAAAAGAGAAGTAGCCTGGATCTTTGATGATTGTGTAGCCAACACATCAGACCTGGACTACTGACCTGTACATTAGAGAGAAATAAATGTCCAGCTTTTTAAAGCTGCAATTACTTGGAGTTTCTCTATTATAATAGCCAAACCATAGGCATTTTCCCCACAAAATCCCAGTTAGGTAGACAGAAAAAATATCAATAATTTCTTTCCACAGAAGGAAAGACTAGACTCATGCAAAATAAGTGGAGGCACTTAGGTTAGGATCTGGGACTCCTGGGCACCAGTCCAGGATTCTTCCCTCACAAAGCTCTGCAATGAGTTTGTTCCATGGCCTCATCTTTAGACGATGATTTTGTGTTCATTCTCAGTCTTGGTATGGAACTGTGAATTTTACACTGTAGAAATAAAAATCATAAGCCCCAATTATCCCAATTGATTCAGTCTTGGTTGAGGCTAGAGGCCATAAGTTTCAATAAGAAAGAACCTTGAGATTCCTTTACTGCAAATGTGAAAATCAGCATTCACAATCAGCCATGACATAAAACAGATAAGGAAGAAGGTTAGAGAATAGCTACACACTAGTTATCATAGTATTTACCTTAAGTTTATTTATTTTATCTTCTTATTATAAAGTGTTCATAATCTGTTTACTGAAAATAACATAGATCATTTGTGTATTGTTTTTCTGTTTGTTTTTTGGTGAGGAAGATCAGCCCTGAGCTAACATCCACGCCAATCCTCCTCTTTTTGCTGAGGAAGACTGGCCCTGGGCTAACATCTGTGCCCATTTTCCTCCACTTTATATGGGACGCCGCCACAGCACGGCCTGACAAGCGGTGCCTCGGGTGCAGGCCGGGATCTGCACCCAGGCTGCCAGCAGCGGAGCTCGCGCACTTAAGCACTACGCCACAGGGCCGGCCCCCTCATGTATTGTTGAGAGCTTTGTTTTAATGGTTGCACAGATTTTTGACCCATCCCCTTAAGGCAATAAGTGTTTGTATAATTTCCTATTTTTGTAGGAAAAAAATATACTTATTCACTTCAAGTTGTAAACTCTTTGCTATCCAATATTGACCTTACTTGCTAATTCTTTGATCATTATCCCACTTTCCAGGGCCTGTGATCAAGTTTTGATAAACTAGCATAAAAGGTTGCACAGACTATTAAAGTTATGGTCATTGCAAAAGACCTTCCTCCTTGTGAAAAGTTACTTTACAAGTAAAATAAATGAGTAAATAAGCAACTCTTAAGAGATTAACTTTAAAACATGATGCAAAATCTTGATTTTCCTCAAAAATATCAAACTAGTGGTGGAGATTCAAAGACGGGAGTGGTGACGAGTCATATGTGGGACTCAGAAATGAGACACTTGAGGTAGAAATTTCTGTGAAGTTCCTCATTGGAGGGAACAAGGACACTCGCAGTTTCTCTGCAGAAGGCACTGGCCCCATGAGAAGGAGACTTTGCCCCTGAGAAGTCTCCCCAGGGCACCCTTCATGTCCTTGTTCCGCAGGCTGTAAATGAAAGGATTCAGCAGGGGTGTCACCACTGTGTACATGACAGCAGCTGCTGTATCCTCTTCTACGGAGTTGGAGGAAGAGGATGAGGGGCACAAATAAGCCCTGATCACTGTCCCAAAGAATAGGGCAACCACAGCAAGGTGGGACCCACAGGTAGAGGAAGCCTTGCGCCTTCCCTGGGCAGAGGGGACCCTGAGGATGGCTGAAACAATGCAAACGTAAGAGACCAGGATGAACGTAAAGGGGATTAAAACGACTGCTCCCCCCAAGAAGAGGAGCACAAGCTCATTGACCTGAGTGTCAGAGCAAGACACTTTCATCAGGGGTTCTAGATCACAGAAGAAGTTAGGAATGACCTTTTTAGAGCAAAAGGAAAGTCGGAATACGAGGAAGGTGTGGGTCATGGCAACAAGATTCGTAAGGGTCCAGCAGGCAGTGACCAGGAGGATGCAGCAGCAGCGGCTGATGACCATTGTGTAGTGGAGAGGGTGGCAGATGGCCACATACCGGTCATAGGCCATTGTGGCCAGGAGAAAGATGTCCATGTCCCCAAAAGTCAAGAAGAAGTAGAGCTGAGCCAGGCATCCTGCATAGGAAATGGACCTGCTCTGGGTCTGGATGTTCACCAGGGCCTTGGGCACTGTGGTGGAGATGAAAAGGATGTCTGCACAGGACAGGCTGGCAAGGAAGAAATACATGGGCATGTGGAGACGCATGTCGGTACCAATGGCCAGGATGATGAGCAGGTTCCCAGCTACAGTGACCACGTACATCCACAGGAACAGCAGGAAGAGGATGTGCTGCTGCTCTGGCTGCTCTGAGAGGCCCCAGAGGAGGGGCTGGTCTGGTTCCCTCCTGCCATCAGCCCGGAAGTCAGGGAAAGAGACCTCAAGTGAGACCCATTAAAACTCTCTAAACATACTTCACTCTAGATGATTGATGAATGTGCCATTCTCTGAATTCTAGAGAAGAAAAAAGAACGACCTTAATGAATCTGTATTGATCACATATTGTATGCACTGTATATATTTATTGAAACCTACTAAATACAATGTGCTAGGAAGTGTGGGAGACATAATTTAAGAGAATTAAAATAGATTTCTTGGTTTGTTTGTCTACACACCTTTCTGTCCCAAATTTGTTTAGTTATAATTTTTTTCTTCAGCTGTACTCTCAGAGGAGTCAAGAGCTTTCATTCATTCAATCATTCATTCATTCATCCACAGATACTAAGTACCAACTCTGGACCTGGTAAAGTCCTAGGTAAATAAGACAATGATAATCTTTAACCTCAAAGAATTTACATCTAATGGGACAGACGTAACTACCTATATTACTATCCTATAAAATTTTGATTCAGGGTTCTCCACCCATTCCGCTTCCTTCAAATCACTCTCAGACCCCAGACTTTACTTGTTTTGATCTATCGTATCTGTAAGTCACTATTCTGAAGACACAGTTTTATATTGTCCGTTCTTCCAGAAACCAATTTAACAATCAAACAGCTATTTAGTAAAGATATGTCATTATCTGTATTGACAAAGAAGAAATCACAATCTGTAGTCTCCAAAATCTCAAAAACTTGTTGGATGTACACACACACACACACACACACACACGCACACACACACACATCTGATACAAAGCAGACTGAGGCAAAAATGGAAGGCTTTCTGGGCCATAAATGTAGTTCAGGATCTTACCAGATGGATGTGGGTGGCACATTGAGACAAACTCTTGAACAAAGGCCAGGCGGTAGGAAGCCCTGGACAGGTTCAGAGATGGGGAGGAGGAGCTTTGAGCATGAGGTGCAGGAGGGACTGTAGGCTGAGATAAAGCTGCCGAGGGAACTGAGGGTCAAATTTAGGAATGTTTGGAATGAAAACTAAAGGATCCAGAACTTTATTCTCTATGTTATAAAGATCTATTAAAGCTATTTGAGCAGGAAGTGATGTGAATGCTTGAGTTGTCCCAGTACATGAAAATCCTGTTCCTTTCCCATGTGTGGAACCAACTGAGGGTTAGACGTGGAGTTGCTCAGTCAGATGGAAAAAACAAAATCATCTTTGCTAATTGAAAAAGACTAGGATGGAGAATGTATCTTAGCTGTGTTCACTAAGTGAGCATTTTAATACTCTTCCAAAATTAAATCTGTTTTCCATTTCACAACCTCAGCAGGACAATCAGGGGTGTCTCCCACAGGGAAGAGCCTGCCCCTATAAAACATAAAACTTGGAAGAACAGAGCAAAATGTGTGTTCCCTGAAAGTGATCAGATTCCTGATGAGAAGGGAGAAGCTGAGGTCCCAAATTCAGCAATCAGGTAAGTCACTCTGGGTAGGACTGAATAAAGCAGTGCAGAGGGCCAGAGCTGTTAGTCTGGAGAGAATCATCAGGAGTAGGGAGTAACTGTTCCTCCTAATGAGTGAGGCAGTTGTATATGGGTGAGTTTTCTTTGCATCTCTGATTTGTAAAATTCCACACATTTCCACACAAATGTCACCTACTACATAAAATTTCACTGGTCCTTCCATAGAAAAAAAGGTTGTCCCTGCACCAAACTTCCACAATATTTTGCCTACGTAATTTTAATGATTCTTTTTCTGTCAGCACTTGAATTGAACATTTCTGTGTCCCTGTATTACTCATGGATTCTGTGAGATATCTTGTCTTCCCCATAGCAGCTGCAGTACTGCCTTGAATACAGAAAGATTTCAAGAAATATCGTAAGAAAGAAAGCACTGAAAATTCAAGCTTTTCGTCAGAAGAGAACTCACTAGTAAAGCGTCGTATAGAGAAAAATTCCAATACACAATATCTTCAAGAATTTTCAAAATTTAATAACACAATTAAGACTTATGAAAGAATATTCAAAGCAGAAATAAAGAAACTTGGAGAAAAAAAAAGGTCTAGACAACAGGAAGATGTGAAACAGGAACTGAGAAACCCTGGAAAGAAATTGAAGGAAAAGTCATGTCTTCAATGAAAACTCTAT